GAATTCAGATCCTCCTGATTCCAGGCCTGGTACTCTATCTACTTCATTACAAAGCTGTGTAGTGGAAGGTTATAGGGTCGTTACAGGACCAACTTCATTGTACGTTGCAGAGCCATTTGGTTCAGTTCAAACAGCCCTTCTTGTCTCTGGGTCAGAGGACCCTGGTTGTGGGGTATTGAGAGGCTGAGACTTTCCCTCCTTAAGCTCAGAGAAATATTAGAAACTATGACAAAGAAGAGCCAAGTAGGGTGAGAAGGGAAGGAATATGATGTGAAGCTACTACCAGATAGTCCCTGAGATAATAGAGTCATGGTATTTTAGAATATGGGGCAGCTGGATGGCACCAGAGTGCACAGAGTGCTGGGCCTGGAGTCAGGAAGACCTGTTAAATCTAGTCTCAGACACTCACTAAGCTATGTGATCAGAGGCAAGTCACTTAACCTTGTTTGCCTCAGTTTCCTCTTCTGTCAAATAAGCTGGAGAAGGAAATGGAAAACCACTCCACTATCCTTGCCAAGAAAACCCCAAATGGGGTCACAAAGAGACAGAAACAACTGAACAACCACAACAATTTTTAGAACATAGGCTTAAATAGCCAGAAATCATCTTGGACATTACTGAGTTCCATGCATTTATTTTACAGATGAACAAAGCAAAGCTCAGAAAGGGTAAGTACGCACATATAGTTGAAATAAAAAGCTATCAAATTGAAATGACTTGCCAGGGATCTTTGTCTTCCTGATTGCTGGTCTAACAGTCTTTCTTCTATATCACTCTACTTCAGGACATTACCATTTTTTAAAAAATTATTATCATCTCTTGATCTATCCTGTTCCTGGAATAGCTTAGAGACTCTGATGTCCTACACATGACTTTTGAAACTTGCAATAATAATAACAGCCAGCATTCGTATAGTGCTGTGCAAGTCATTTTCCAGATATTATCCCATTTCATTGTCACAATAACCTTGGGAGTAAGTGTTATTATCTTCATTTTACAGATGGGGACATTAAGGTTGGTGGTGGTTAAGTAACCTGACCAGGGTCACAGAGCCAATTAATATCAGAGATAGCCTTTAGGTGTTGCTGATTCCAAGTCTAGTACTTTATCCACATGCCTGCTTATCTTAGAGCAATGGTTCTCAAACTGTGGGCCAGGGGCTGTGTGTGTGTGTGTGTGTGTGTGTGTGTGTGTGAGGTGTATGTGGGTAGGATGGGTGGGCTGAAGAGTTATAGAAAAGGGTCAGAGTCTCACCATGCTTTATTTTATCATTATATGGTACAGCTACTATCATGAGGCATCTAGGATATTTCTTGAAACACCAAAAAGTGTCCTTATACTAAAAAACATTCAAGAAACCCTCTGAGCTCAATTGCATTCCATCCCATTTAACACACTGAAGTAGATGCAGTGATGAAACAGCATATGTTCTTTGCCTTTAAGGAACTTACAGTCAAGCAGGAGGGGAAGAGACATGCCCACCGATCCCTAAAACGCAAGTTGGAAAATGCTTCAAGTGCCCAGGATAAGCTCAACAGAGAGGTCTGAGAGATTCAAGGAAGAAGTCAATAGCAGTAGAATGTAAGCTCCTTGAGGGCAGGGACTGTTTCATTTTTGTGCCTGACAGAGAGCCTTGGAGGGTAGGCAGAGAGAGTGCACGTAGTAGGCACTTATTAGATGTTTGTTTGAGTTGAATTCCAAGTTTTCCTCGGTCCTCATGTTGCACTGTGGATGGGTGAGAGTGGGAAGGTGGGCAGAATAAGATGCCTTGACCAGAATCCAAGGAGGAGGGATAAAGACTTACCATGGAAACTGCAGACTATTCCTCCCAAGAGGATGAGGACCAGGAAGGATCGCATGGTCTGGAAAGAAGATACAACGGCATAAAAAACTGTAGAACCATAGGATTTCATTTATTTTCTAAATGTTTTTATTATGAACTCAACAACAGTCAACAAATACAAACATTTTCATATACAAAGAACAAAAATGTATGTCAAATCTTGAATCCAAATGTACCTTTTTCACATAGTTATTCTTAGAGGGGCTATTAATTTTAACAAGGTAGTAACAAAATTGCCCTGCTCATTATCTTTCAGGAAAATTTTTTTTCTTCTATACATTTAAAAATATTTTAGTGATGCCCTTTTTTTCTACTTCTCTCTCACTACCTACTGTTCCCTCCCCTGCCACAATCCCCTCCATAGCATTGAATCCCAAGCCCTCCCTTGTGATAAGTAGAGTCAAACAAAACAAATCAACATGTTGCCCATGTCTGAAAATGTATGCCAGCACCTCTTTGCTAAGAGATGAATTGAGAGCTGAAAGGAACCTTAGAAAGCTAGAATTAAGCCAAAAGAGGTAACTTGTCTAATGTCATACAGGTAGTAAGCTGCAGAGAGGTAGGATTCCAACCCTGGTCCTCCAGAAGTGAGACCCTGTGGACCCAGCATGGAGAGATAGCTGGGAAAGGAGGAGAAATGAGTATGTAGAGCAAAGATTACATGGTGATCATAGGCCTATAGATTTAGAGCTGGAAAGGGACTTTAGAGGCCAAAAGTCTAGGCTGCTCATTTTATAGATGAGCAAACTGAGGCTGAGAGGTTATATGATTTGCCCAGAGTCATAGATGGTAAGTGATTAAGGCAGGATTTAAACTCAGATATCTTTTCAGTCTAAACCCAGAGTTCTACCCATTGCTCCACTCAGCATCTTGAAGGACTCATATTCCTTCTCTATTCTGTCCCATGCTTCTCAATGCCCCTAGATCATAGCTTCTCATCTCTCTCTTCTGATCTTTGAAAACTCTGATGTCTCTAGATCTGAGTCTAGAAGTCCCATCCTCATTCCCATTCCTATCTCCTGCCCCTCAGATCCTGGGCTCAGATCTGATCCTAGGGCCCATTTCCTTCCCCATCTCTTCCTTACCTGTTCTGGGCTGGGAGTGCTTTGCTGGTCTCCACTCACCCAGGTGATTTATACTCACCCATTGTTTACTTAGATGAAGTGTGAGTTCTCCCCTGGTGACAGCTGGTCCAACCCACCCAGCCCTGCTTCCTGGAGAGCCCTCCAAAGCTTCCCCTTAGACTTCTCAGGGCTCCTCCTAATAGCTGCCTTTCAAATGGTGACCTTTACATAGGGCTTATCTGAAGTCAGCTAACAAATGGTCCTGGATGTGTGGTAATATGTATATAGAGACCCTCATTGTATAGAAGAGAGGGTATAGGGACAGCAAGGAATTGAGACCACCTTTTCTCCTCCTGTCAAGAGGGATCCCTATCTTGGGTCCGATGGATTGTTTCTAAGCATTTTGGTGGCGGTCTCTAGCCCTTGAGGTTTAGGTAGTGTATGCATCTTGTTAGAGTTGAAAGAACTTTGAATTTGGACTCAGGACCAATGTGTTTGACCTTGTATGGCCAAATCGTTTCCCATTTTGGGGGCCTTAGTTTCTCATCAGTATAATGAGTGGGTTGGAGTAGATGATATCTAAGACCCCTTCTTCTTCTAACAGTTTGAGTCATGAGTCTATGGCCCATTGTATGGTGCTGAAACCCTTCAGGCAATGCCAAGTCACCCGTATTCAACTGTCTCCAACCCCTCTGTGCAATTCACAGTCCCCAAATCTCCTTTTCTCTCCTTTTCCTGACCCCCAACTGACAAACAATGTCACTCTGTTGCTCAAAGTCTTGAATCTTCGTTCAAGGAAATGAAACAGATAGAGCCAAGTCATGACTACTTCCCCAAGAAAATTGTTTTTGTCCCTTCTGATAGATTTCTATCAGGCTCCTGGGGAGGCAGGGTAGTGGGGAGGGGTAAGGGAGAATGTCTTGGAAAATTCTAATACAATGAACTTCTTTTTCTCCATTCCCATTCTTCCATCAAAGTGATGTAAGGAATGTCATGCAAATTTACTGCTGGGTCAAATTTACCCTTGTGAAAATTTCATTGGGCAGGAATTGTGTTATTTCACAAGGCTGTTTGGTTAGTATATATGTGGTGGGGGAGGGTTTTGCGGGAAAAAGGTCCCTGTAGTCCTCTTCTTATCTAATCATTCTCCCTGTTGTTTATTTTCCTAACTGTTAAGAAAGGTCCCTGGTTCTTTATTGACTTTTTTTTATGTCTTTGAACCCTAAAGCTATTCTTATCTGCCATAGTGGACCCCATCTGGCACTGCGGTGCAGCTGAAAGAATGTTGCTTGTTATACTCACTCGTTTATTTAGATGATGTGTGATTTCTCCCCTAGTGACAGCTGGTCCATCACAGCCCAGCCCTGCTTCCTAAGCAGACATTGGTTCCAGTCTGCAGCTTGGACACTGACTTACTTTATGTACTTGGTCAATTTAACCTCTGAAGGCTTTACTTTGCCATCTGTACAAGGAAAGCGTGAATCTTTAAAGACTTTTTCAGATCTGGAATTCTGTGGTATAAGATCTTCTCCATCTCTGAATGTTTTGTATTTTAATTTAAGGGCTCTTAGAGAACTAATGTTTTATATTCTGTGTTCAAAAGTCTGTTCTAACATTCTTTGATCTATATTCTAAGGGCCCCCACCTTTGGATTCTATTCTGTACCTTCTTGGGACTCTTTCAACACTGATATTCTGCATTCCAGGGCTTCAATTGTATCAAGTGTCGAACCACTTCAGTTACTGTATTTTTTACCCTCTGATTGTGCAATACCCATGGCCAGAATTGTAAGGTGACTCAGCCAGTTAAATCAAATGACAAATCAATTCAATGAGCTCAATTTGACTCTAGTGCAAAAGTATGTAAAGGGACAGGGATCAGAGCTGAGATTTCATTGGTATAAGAAACTTTGGGGTGAGGAGACTCCCTCTACCGATGCAGGCTAGCGCCTTCTCGGCAATGTAGGCTTAGAGAGTTGACTAGAACTCTGAGAGGTTCAATGACATTTCTTGGGTCACACAGCCAGTATGTGTCAGATGCAGAATTTGAACCCAGGTCATCCTGGTTTTGAAACCTGCTCCCTATCCTCTTTGCCTTGCTGCTTTTCCTGCAGGAAGGTAGAAAATGCATGTGTGTATGCACACATGTACTTACAGGTATAAACACACGTATATGTGTACACACACATGTGTGTGTGTGTGTGTGTGTGTGTGTATGTAAGAAATTTCCATGTCCTGGGTGAGTGAACCGTTGGGCCCACTTGTACCTTCACATCCTTCTTTCCCTCCATTACTTCCAACTCCTCTGAAAGTTGTTTAGTTCCTCAGTTTTGGGGAGGTGACTGGTTGCATAGAGCTGACCAGATGTTGAATTTGACAGCCATTTGATTAATAGCCACTCCATCTATCATAATCCACATCTGTATCTCACTGTTGATGGTATCCTCTTTCTTTCTTTCACTTCCATTCTCCTTCTCTTCTCTTTTTCTTACTCTATCTTCTTTTACTCTATCTTCTTTTTTCTCTTTCTCACTCTCTCTGTCTCTGTCTCTGACTTTGTCTCTCTCTTCTCTGTCTCTTTCTCTGTCTCTCTCTCCCCTCTCTCCTTTCCTTCTCTCTTCTCTTTTACTCTCTTCTGTCTCTCTCTCTCTCTTTCTCTCTCTCTCCCCTCTCTCTCTCTCTCCCCCCTCCACCTCTCTCTGTGTCTCTGTCTCTCTCTCTCTCATTTTGTCTTTCTCCCACCCCCTTCTCTGTGTGTGTGTGTGTGTCTCTCTCTCTCCCCCTTCCTCTCTCCCTCACTCCGTCTCCTTCTGTGTCTCTCTCACTTTGTGTCTCTTTCCTCTCTAACTACTATTTTAGAGCTTTCTGCTCTTGGGGACCCTTGTACATTTCCTTCATGCTTGTGGGATTTCTTATCTTTCTATGGCTTCTGCTTTCCATACATCCTTCCTTCCTCAGTCCTCAGCCATCTGGCTTCCATTACTCAAATGCTTCAGAGACTGCTCTTATTAAAACCACTAACGGCAGTTTTATACTCAAATTTAATGACCTCTTAGTCCACACCTTCCTTGACCCCTCTAAAATATTTGTGACCTGATAGAAATAGGACTGGACTTGGGGTCAGCAGAGAGCTGGGTTCAAATTCCCTTCCCCTACCCCCACTGAAACTTCTAAGCTGGATCACCTTGGGCAAATTATTTATCTTGCTTTCTGAGCCTCAGTTTCCTCATCTGTAAATTGGGGACAGTACTACCATACAGGATTTTTGGGGAAGTGTAAAAGGCTTGCAAATCTTAAAGGACTACATGCATGCTAGATATTATTATTCTTCCCTTCTTCTCAGAACTCTCTCTTTATTTGACTTCTTTTATTTTTGACTAGGCAATGGGGTTAAGTGACTCACCCAGGGTCACACAGTAAGTGTTATATGTCTAAGGCTGAACTTGAACTCAGGTCCTCCTGAATTCAGGGCCAGTGCTCTATCCGCTAAGCCACCTAGCTGCCCCATTTTAGGGAGCTAGCATGATGTAGTAGAAGAAGCATTGGCTCTGAAGTAAGAAGACCTGGGTTCGGATCCCACCTCTGATGCTTATTACGTGTGTAATCTTGGGCAGGGCACTTAACCTCCGTGGGCCTCAGTTTTCCAATCTACAAAATAAGAGGATTGTACTCAATGCTCTGTGGAGTCCCTTCTAACACTAGGTCCATGATTTGTTCACCCCTCACTTTTCCAGCTCCTAACCTTGGTCATTTCCCAAGGTTCTGTCCTCGGCATGTCCTCTGCCTTCAACGTTTGTCTCTCGCCCTCACCTCTCCTAAGAGCTCTAGGCCCATATTTCCATCTGTTTGTGAATTCGTCTCTTCTTGGAGGTACCATTTACATTTACCTGAAACTCAACACATCCAAAGCAGTTTGGACTTTTCACTGACAGCACTATTCTTTCAGTCTCCTA